CACCTCTCGCCATGTCACCTTCAATGAATTTATCTTTCCATACTCCACACTATCAACAACCCCCTGCATTTCATCTTCTGCCCAACTCGAAGAATGGGCTCCCTTATCCATACATTCTCTAGTTTCTCCTTCCTCTCCTTCCCATACTGCTTCGTCCTCACCACCAGAAAACCCCACGCCATCCACTTCCCCTCACTCACATCCATCACCACCCTCACCCCCTCTCCTTCAAACTCACGCATTCCCGTACCAGCACCCCCTTCCTCCCCACAAATCAAAACACGCTTACAACATGGCATCCGCAAGCCTATTCAAAAGCTCAACCTTCATGTAGAGACTTGCAACTCCACCATTCCCAAGAACATAACCCAAGCTCTCAAAAGCCCAATTTGGCGCAAGGCCATGGAAGCTGAAATTCAAGCTCTCCAATCAAACAACACATGGGTGCTAGTTCCCTCACTCCCTTCCTAAAATGTCGTAGGATGCAAGTGGGTGTTCCGTATTAAAAGAAATAAAGATGGAATCATTTCCCAGTACAAAACCCGTCTTGTAGCTCGAGGTTTTACTCAACGAGTTGGCATTCATTATGGAGAAACCTTTAGCCCCGTGATCAAGCCTACCACAGTTCGCCTTGTCCTCTCCCTTGCCGTCACACAAGGATGGCCCCTCCGTCAATTAGACATTAACAATGCCTTCCTTCAAGGCACTCTCACCGATGACGTTTTCACTATCCAACCTCCTGGCTTTGTCCACCCACAATTTCCCAATCATGTATGCAAATTAAACAAAGCCCTTTATGGCTTAAAACAGGCGCCCAGAGCTTGGTATACCGAACTCCGTCACCACCTCCTCCACTTGGGCTTTCGCAATACCATTTCGGATCCCTCTCTGTTCACTCTATTCACAAATAACATCATTGTCTACCTTCTTGTATACGTGGATGACATCATTCTCACCTCAAATAACCCAACATATCTAAACTCATTCATCACCACCCTAGCCACACGATTCTCCCTCAAGGATCTTGGCTCCCTGTCCTACTTCTTAGGCGTCGAAGTCACGTCTCATCCTCATGGCTTGTTCCTAAGTCAGACCCGCTATGTCAATGATATCTTATGCAAGGCGAACATGGACAATGCTAAACCCACCTCCACTCCTCTCGCTACTCAGCCCCCTTAACAAAAACAGGAACACCTCTTTCTGATCCATCTCATTACCGAGCTCTCATAGGCAGCCTATAATATCTAAGTCTTACTCGCCCGGATGTCGCCTTTGCAGTAAATAAGCTAGCTCAGTACATGCAATGTCCAACCACCTTACATATGCAATCCCTCCATAGGCTCCTACGCTATCTCAAAGGTACTTCAACCATGGGCCTCACACTACACAAAACGACTCCCATGACCCTCCATTAGGGCTGTGCAAAACTATCCGAAAAACCGAAAACCCGAAAAACCAAACCGTAACCGAACCGAAAAATTGGGTACCCGAAGCGTTTAAAGAAAACGGGTCGGGTAACCGAACCGATAAGAATTTAACGGTTCGGGTAACGGGTACCCGTTAACACTGTTTCGGGTACCCGAATGTCCCGAAAATATATTTTTTTTTTTAATGAAGTTGCTCCCAGGCCTGTATCACTTGAGTATGTCTTTGTCCTTTGGAATGAAAAAGGGTTTTGATTCTTTTTTTCGAAATCTCAAATGAAAAATGTCAGTTTTTTTTAGAAAAAAAGAAATAGAAAATAAAGAACAAAAAAGTGAAAACCCTAAACTTCGTTCTTTTCTCATTTCTCAGTCATTCACTTCACTCAGCCTCCATCCCCCTCTCTCTCCTCCTCTTCTCTAATGTCTCTGCCTATGGTTCTCTAATCTCCATTCTCCATTCTCCATTCACTCCTTCATCTCCTCCATTGAAGCGGCTCTGAGCTTTCACTCCTTCATCTCCTCCATTGAAGCGGCTCTGAGCTTTCACTCCTTCATCTCCTCCATTGAAGCGGCTCTGAGCTTTCACTCCTTCATCTCCTAATGTCCTCAGGTAATTAACTAATTATCCCTTTGCCAGATCTAATTATTTGCAATGAATTGATTAAATTCAATTAAACTTAAACTCTTGTTTTAATTTCACAGATCGCAGATTCAATTTAGGGCTCTGCGTACTTCGACTTCTCCATTGAAGCGGCTTCTGAGCTATACGCCTATACTCCTTCATCTCCTCCATTGAAGCGTACTTCGACTTCTCCATTGAAGCGGCCCTGAGCTTTCACTCCTTCATCTCCTACATTGAAGCGGCTCTGAGCTTTCACTCCTTCATCTCCTCCATTGAAGCGTACTTCGGCTCTCCATTGAAGCGGCTTTTGAGCTTTCACTGTTGAGGTAATTTACATTTTATAGTATCTGACTATCTGTGGTTTTTTCAGATTTGTAATTGTTTTTTTTCCTGATTTTTTATTGTGGTACTATTAATTTTTTTTTTGTTTTTTTTTGGAGGAATGGTACTTATTATGGTTTTCAGAATTGAGGTTTTTTTTTATTATTTTTTGTCAAGTTGTGTCTGTTAGATTTAGATGAGTGAGTAAGGTGAGATTTCTGTTTTTGATGTGGAAATAAGGTTGTTGAGAAAAAACAAGGATTCAGAGTGATGTTGTTGTGTGATGTTGCTAAGCATCTATAGTTGCTGTGTACTAATGTTGTTGAGCATCTATAGTGTTGTGTGATGGCTTCCTGTGTGTTGAGCATCTATAGAGTTGTACATGATAATCATGTAGTCCAATATGATTTATTGTAACATGAGTTAATTACAAGCATTTTAAGAAAACGTTTTAAGATTTATTGTAATCCAATATGATAATCATGTAGTCCAATATGATTTATCTAGTTGCTTCTACTCAGGTTAATCTGTCAATGTATGGTTTAACAGAATTGAGTAATATTCGTCAGCTGGAATTTGGCTTAACAGTAACTTGTGTGGCTGTGTACATCATCTTTTGGACTCATTTTCAGTAATACTTGCCTAAGGTACTACAAGGCTCACAGAGTGATTATATGGTGTAGTTGTACCAATAGTTTTTTTTTTATTTCACTTGCTTGTCTGAGATTTTATGATTGTGTATTTGTGTGACGTGGAAAAGTTTTTGTCCTGTTTGTTTCTAATAGACATATGTCCTAGATGTTCACCCTTTCAACCCTCATATAACTATGATTCATTCTTGTTATTTGTATATACATGATTAAACTTATTTGTTTTTTTTATTTGTAGGAGTGTATGGAATCTGGAAGTAGTGGGGATATGGAAGACTCATCGGCTACAAGTCAAGCTCCTCCAATTCCAAGTCCTCCTCCCGAGCCTTGGGAGTATGACCCTTGTCCAATGACGGAAAATAATGACCCCTTTGACCAGCAAAATCAATCAAACCAACCTTCTGAACCTGCTGATGCTGCTGCCCCCTTAAGTGAAACTTCAAAAAAATCTAGAAAAAGGCGCTCTCCTCATTGGGAGCATTTTATAAAGAAGGATGGAGAAAACAAGGCTGAATGTATCTATTGTCATACATTCATTTGTTGTGCATCACTTCAAGGTACCTCCGGCATGAAGAACCACATAAAGCGGTGTAAGGAATACCCCCCCAAACATTGATCAAAATCAGCAACTATTGTCCCTTAGTCAACAAACTCTTGATGGGAATCTCGTGGATAAAAAAAAAGGTAGACTTGAGCTGTGGAAATTCAATCAAGAAGATAGTAGGAGAGCTCTGGCAAAGATGGTGATCATGGATGAAATGTCTTTTAGAATGGTGGAGCATGAAGGTTTTCGCAACTTTATGAAGGTAACGCAACCCTTTTTCATTATTCCTTCTCGATGGACAGTGACTAGAGATTGTTTTAGGATTTATTTGGATGAGAAAAAAAGTTTGAAAAGTTTTTTTAGTAAGTGCACTTCACGTATAAGTCTCACCACTGATACTTGGACTTCTTGCCAAAATATGAATTACATGTGTTTAACCGCTCACTTTATTGACCAAAATTGGAAATTGCATAAAAAAATAATTAACTTTTGTATAATTGCTGGTCATTCTGGTGAAACAATTGGTAAATCTGTCCAAAAGTGTCTACTTGAATGGGGTATTTCTAGAGTAATGATTGTCACCGTAGATAATGCAAGTTCAAATGATGTTGGCATTCAATATTTGAAAAGAAGGTTTGAAAGTTGGAAGACATTAGTTTTGGGTGGTCGGTTTTTACACATGAGATGTTGTGCTCACATATTAAGTTTAACCGTTAAAGAAGGATTGAAAGAAAGTGATGTGTCAATAAAAAGAATTCGTTGTGCTGTTAGGTATGTAAGATCATCGGGTGCTAGATTGCAAAAGTTCATGAGTTGTGTTAAACAAGAAAAGTTGGAGTCAAAACGTTTTCTTTATTTAGATGTGGATACTAGGTGGAATTCCACTTTTTTAATGCTGGAAGGTGCTTTGGCATATCGTAGGGCTTTTGATTTGCTTGAATGTTCAGATGGTGGTAAATTTAGGTATGAGTTACTTAAGACAGGCGGGGTGCCTGAACCTAGTGATTGGGATCGTGTTGCCTCTTTTCTTCCTTTACTTAAAATATTCTATGATGCTACTCTACGAGTTTCCGGCTCGTTGTATATCACCTCTAATGTGTATTTACAAGAACTTGTTGGGATTAGTGTGTTAATCAAGAAAAAAATGTTGAGTAATGATGCGGGGGTGAGTTTAATGGCTAGTGGAATGAAGAAAAAGCATGACAAGTATTGGGAAAATGTTGATAATGTGAATCTCTTGTTGTATATTGCTATCATTCTTGATCCTAGGCGGAAAATGGGATATACTAAATGGGCAATTAATCAACAATATGATTCTGAAAAAGCTAAGTACTTGTGTGATAAAGTGATGCAAACTCTGAATGACATGTATGAACTTTATATTTCTGAAAACCCTTCAAATGAGTCTATTCTCCCTAAAACTTCTGATTTTTCGGAGGAAGTAGAAGATATGGATTCTGATGTAGATGTTGCGGAATTAGAGTTTGAAAGGCAGGTGGGTTCATGTGTTGGAGTACAAGGGAAAAATGAGTTGGCCAAGTATTTAGAAGATGATAGAGAAGTTAATCCCGCCGGAAAAAGCTTTGATTGTTTGGGGTGGTGGAAAAAATATGGTGAAAGGTATCCAACAATAGCTCTCATGGCTAGAGATGTACTCTCCATTCCCGTATCAACAGTCGCTTCCGAATCAGCTTTTAGCACCGGTGGTCGAGTGCTTGATTCATTTCGCAGCTCACTCTCAACTAAGATGGTTGAAGCCTTGATTTGAGCACAAGATTGGTTACGTACATCTCAAGGTCCTCTTATACTTGAGGAGAGACTTGAAGATATGGAAAAAATTGAATCAGGTAACATTTAAATATTTTCTCTTTTTTTTAATCTCATTATCTTGTTAATTATTCATTAACTTTTTTTTAATTTTTTTTTTTTGAAGAAATGTTACCTCTTGGTGAGGAACACTCTCTCTTTGTTGATGATGATTAATTGATTAGAGGCAACAACTTATAATCATGAAGGTTGGTGGTGATTGTATTGAAGGCCGGAAGTCATTGAAGGCTTGGAGTATTTTATGAAATATGATTACTATGGACTGTTTTTGTTTTAAAACTATAAACTATGGACTTTTTTTTTTGTTATGTATTGGTTTATTATTGTTAACTATGGACTTTTTTTTTTAAAGAAACAGTATGTTTGTATCAAGTATTTGTTCATTTGTAATCGGGTTGAGTGTTGTGTTATATGTGTATTCAGGTTTAAATATCAGCCTATTAGGCTGTTATTTGTTACAAAAAAAATCATAGTACTAATAACAATAATTAATACTAGAAAAACAGGTGGAAGTTTGGACAAAAATATTATTAAGCAGGTGGGTACAAGGAGGAGTTCAGGCAGCCAAGTAGGAGAGGTGAGGAGGCAGCAGCCTCAAGGACAGGGACTGGTAGGTTGCCAAAGCGGAAGACATCGATAGTTGTAATTATTTTTGTTATTTGTGTATTTAAGTTCAATTGTTATAGTTCAAAAAATAGGAAGTAAAAAAAAAACTAGTAAAAACTAAAAAGCATCTAAAAACGAATTGCAAAGCAGGTTTTAAATAAATAAAAAGACCCAAAAAAAAATCAGCTTATTGGTTCGGTTCGGATATTTGGTTCGGGTACCCGTATTTTCAGGTATCCGAATTTACGGGTACCCGAACCTTATCGGAACGGTTTCGGGAATCGGTTTTAGCCTTAACGATTATCGGGTACCCGAACCAATAACGTTATCGGAACGGGTACCCGTCCCATGCTCTCCCCTACCCTCCATGCATATTCTGACGCTGATTGGGCACGAGATACAGATGATTACATTTCAACCACTGCCTATGTCGTTTACATTGGCAAGAACCCCATCTCGTGGTCCTCTCGCAAGCAGAAAACAAGGGCAAAGTCCTCCACCAAAGCTGAGTACCGTGCTGTTGCTGCTGCCTCAAGTGAAATCCTTTGGATACAAAATTTGCTATCTGAACTTCATCATCCCCTGCCTTCCACACCGGTCATCTACTGTGATAATGCAGGAGCGACGTATGTCAGTGCCAATCCCGTCTTCCATTCCAGGATGAAGCATCTTGCACTTGACTATCACTTTGTTCGCGAGCATGTTCAAGCTGGAAAACTAAGAGTAGCATACATTTCAACGAATGACCATCTAGCAGACGTTTTAACAAAGCCGTTACCAAAGCAGCAGTTTACTACAATTGTCAACAAAATTGGACTGTCGTTACCACAGTCCATTTTGCGGGGGCGTGTTGGAGAATGATAAGCCTCGCCAGCCGTAGCATAATTATCTTTCTTCATTGTGATAAATTTCCAGTATATTTATCTTCTTAGATTGTAAGTATCAACTCCTAGATTATAGGCTTTATCTTGTATTCCTTAACTGCCTTGTACTCTATATATTTCATGTACAGCTCATGTAAATTACTCAATGAAAAACACAATTACAATTCATCTCTTTATCTTACAGTATAAACCAAAGCATATGAGGATGTTTCAAAGAGTTGATATTATCAATCTTTATCGTGCTTAAGAATTTAAGTCGTGGTTTCTAGATAGGGAGTACATATATAGAACTACAGAGTTCTAAAACAAGCAATAACAATAAGTTTCGAGTAGTCTTTTTACTAGCCTTGATACCACCCCATGAATATGGAGAGTTATTGTTGTCAAAATAGAATTTTTAATTTTTATTCTATATATTTTGAGGGAAAAGGTTAACATAAAAGAATTTACATTACATTCCAAATCCAAATTTCCTGCAAGAAGGCTAGCTATTAATGACGAACTTCCTATCATTAGTAAAGAATGGACTCAAATCTGAAGTGATTTCAAAGAACAAACTTATTGTGAAACTGTGAAATCAACATTTTTCAACAAGTTTTAAAAACTGAAAGAATTTATGATCGATTTTTCTTCAAAAATATCAAATGACCTTTTCTATGACATTGATGATTGATAACCTTCAAAATCTGTTATCAATCAAGTATTATAAACATAACAAGTATGTGGTCCAGGGCTCCAGGCAATGCCTCATATTATTATTGTTTTGAATTTTATAATGTATTATTTGCATTCCAAAATTTAAACTACAACTGCTACTTAATCCAAACAGTAAAAAACTAATTTAAAAAAAAAACCCACACACAAAATAAACACTTCCCATCCAAGTTAGATATATATGAATTAAGTGAAATCATAATTAAAAGATTGGTAAAATGAAAAGGCTTCTAAGTCATTTCTTGTTGGTCTTGAATTCAAACTCTATAATAACGGTCGTTTATTATGGAGTATCATTTAAAAATGTCATAATTGAATAAATGACATGATGATGTATTTGTAATGCATGAGTGGTGCCACGTGACCTGTATATTTACTCTCATACCTTGCTCTAACGGAGGCCATCACACACTCCCCAAAAAAGGATGACCTTTGAAATCCATTTCAACTAAAGGTGGGCAACGTGCCGTGCCGCGCCGCCGTGGGCCGTGCCTGGCGGGCCACGGTCTTTGGTATATCGGGTCGTGCCATGCCACCGTGCCAGAGGAAGCGTGTCGTGCCGTGCCACCCAAAATCGCAGGCCAGCCCACAGCACGGGCTGGCCTGCTACCTTTGCTTTCCTTTTTTTTTTTTTTTAAAAATATATTAATAGTTTATAACTTATAATCTTATGTTATTATTTTTCTAAAATAAATTAAGTTTGATATTTATGTTTTATTATTTTTTTAAATTTAATATTTATATTTATATATTTAGTTTATACTATTACTTTATAGTTTAATGTTTATAATCTATTATATTTATTTTTGTATTATTAATTATTTATTATTATAATTTTTTTGTTATATTAATTTACAAATTATAACTTCTTCTTCTTCTTCTTCTTCTTCTTCTTCTTCTTCTTCTTCTTCTTCTTCTTCTTCTTCTTCTTCTTCTTCTTCTTGTTTGCTTCGTCTTTGTCTTCGCCTTCAAGGTCATCGGCTAGTTGCATAGATTGGGAACTAGCCGAACTCGAACGGTCGGAAGCGGAGGTTCCTTCATCGTTGTTGTTGTCGTCGTAAGAACGGTCTTGTGAGCGATTTTCAGCATCCAACCAATCTTTGAAACATACACACATTTCAAGTGTTTCGGGTTTTAGACTTGTTCTTCTATCGTCTAAAACTCTCCCGGATGCGCTGAAAGCTCGTTTGGAGGCAACGGAGCAGACTTGGATACCAAGAATGTCTCGTGCCATTGCCGCCAAAGTTGGATGCTTCGTGTTTTGTTGTTTCCACCATGCAAGAAGGTCGAGGCTGTTTATCTCCTCGTCGTCCATGCCCTTGGTGAAGTCGTAACTCAGGTACATTTACAACTCCGAGACATCGCTTTGTGTTCTCCTTATTAATAAATCACCTGAAAACCTTGAAATCAAGTTAGTAGCTTGTGAAAATAAATGTTTGGCCTTTTTACTTACGTTTTTGGATGATTGGGAAGGGCCTGAGCGAGAAACGGTGCCATATTTGGTTTCATAGACTCTAAATAAAGCAAAAAACTGATCCTTCACATTACTCTTATAGGTATCTACGTTATCGTCAAGAAGCATGCATTGAAAATAAATGTCAACTAACATAAATGTATTTTCATACTTTTGTCTAGGATCTAATATGGAAGCAAAAATATAAATCAAAGGAATTTCACTATAATATTTACACCACTCTGTTTTCATTGCTGGAAGATACTAATCATAATCACTTTGGTTGCGATGATCAGCGAAAAGTTGGGCGAATAAACATGCATTTGAAAGAAAGTTTTGAGCACAAGGATTATAAACAGAAAAAAAAAACAATACGTCATGTTATATAATAACTGTAAAAATTGCATATATCGTTCACATTTATCCCAATCATCCTTATATATAGCATTGTTTGGAAATTTTTTGTTGTAAAACATTGTCTACGGATTCTTGTACTCAATTGCCTTGGTTAACATGTTATAGGTGGAATTCCACCTAGTTGGGCAATCGGTTTTGATTTTTATTGCTCTTATCTTTTGTTGTTTTAAAAAACTATTCCATTCTTTGTATCTCATGTTTGAGCTATTAATATACATAATAGCATCTCTAATTTTGTTGTAGTATGAACTAATTGCTCCAATTCCATCCTGTACATATAAGTTAAGAACATGACAAACACATCTAGTATGAAGTGCGTCACCATCTAATATTACATCGGTCAAGTTTTGTTTGACATAATTAGTAGTATATGTCATTGAGGTTGCATTGTCAAATGTCATAGACATGATTTTTTCTCGAAGGTTGTATTCATTTATTGCTTCCATTAAATGGTGAGCAATGTTAATACCGGTGTGGGGGTATTCCAGCATTTTGAAATGAATTATTCGTTTTTGTAACAACCATTGATCATCTACCCAATGGCAAGTCACACATAAATAGTGATATTTATAACCACTATCCCAAGAATCGGCAGTCAAAGACACTCTACAATTAAGTTTACTCAATTCGTCTTGTAACCGCATTTTGTACTATAAAAAGTTTTTCATGGCGACGGAATGAACGGGTTTCCTAGAGATTCTTTTATATTGGGGTTGTAATGCTTTGTTAATGTAAGTGTTAAATGGGTCACTTTCGGAGAAAAGAAAAGGTTGTTCGGCGTGTACTATCATTTTCCCTAGTTCATCCCTATCCCTTTCATAGTTGTAGGTAAAGCCGTGTGGATGGAATTGGGAAACTTTTGGCTAGGTTGGATCACTAGCTGGTTTTGCACAACTGCTCATGTATCTACTTAAGTGTCCCGTCTCGGACTTGGACTGTGCCGAGTATATATTACCACATGTTTTACATTTTGCTCTTGTTTGTGCTTTATTTAGTAGAAAATAATACCATACATCACTTTTGCGGCTTTTGATATTTACCATGTTACTTTCGGTTAACCATTGCTCTTGTGTGTTTGGGAATTGGGTGTTTGTAGATTCGGGGATTTATTGGTTAGTAGTAGAACCAGAGGCATTTAGGGTATCTTGTTGGCTACCTTGGCTAGAATAACGATTTTGTGGGTCAAAGAAATTAGGTGGGAATTGACCGAATTGTGAAAATTGGTTTTGTGGAAATCCGGGCATATTATTCATGTTATAGGGTTGAAAACCGGAAGTACCATCATGCTTAAATTGTTCAAA